TATTTTAAAAATTTCTGCTTCGAGATTTTTTTTTTTTATACAGGTCTGCCTGTGTGGTTGTCTGTCTGTTTTTTCTCTCTCTTTCTCTCTATTTCTCTTTCTCTCTCTCTCTCTCTCTCTCTCTCTCTCTCTCTCTCTCTCTCTCTCTCTCTCTCTCTCTCTCTCTCTCTTTCTCTCTCTCTTTCTCTCTCCCCTTTCTTCCCTCCTCTCTCTCTCTCTCTCTCCCTTCCTCCTTTCCCCCATCTCTCTCTCCCTTTTCTTCCCTCCTCTCTCTCTCTCTCTCCCTCTCTCCCTTCCTCCTTCCGACGCCTTCTCTCAGCCTCAATAAATCACAATCTAGAAAAACAAGGTGCAGCAGCAGCGGCAGTATCGACACCACGCGCAGTCAAAAACAAAATGCCAAACACATACACGGGAGGCAAGGTGTCAGGGGAAGGGGGAAGAGGGGAGGGGGGACAGGGGAAGGTGGAGGGGGAGGGGAGGGGGGAAGTGGGAGGGGGAAAGGGGGAGGGGAGGAGGGAAGGGGGAGGGGGAAAGGGAGAGGGGATAGGAGGAGGGGGAAGAGAAGGGGAGGGTATGGGGAGAGAAGGTTGAAGGGAAGGGAAGGGAAGGTAAGGGTGTGTGGAGAGGAGGAATTGGGAAAGGAAATGGGAAAGAACGGGATGGGGAGGAGATGGGAGGGGTAGATAGTTGGAAGGGAGAGGAGGGGATAGGAGGGTAGGGGAGGAATAGGAAAGGAAAGGGAAAGGACGGGATGGGGAGGAGGTAGGAGAGGAAGAGAGTTGGAGAGGAGAGAATTGAAGGGGAGGGGAAGAGAGGGAAAGTTAGGGGAAGAGAGACAAGGTGACACATCTACTCATGCAGACAGGAGTGATTGTTTGCCGGTAATGACGATAAATGGGCTTCAGACCTTTGCTCCTGAACCTTCTATAAGCTCTAGTACAACCCACCATCCTCCCTTCTGGCGCACACGTCATCATCCCCCTCCTCCCCCTCCTCCTCCCCCCCTACACACCACCCTCCCCTCCCCCCTCCTCCCCTATACACCACCCTCCCTTCCTCTCCCCCTCCTCCTCCCCCACACGTGACACCCCCACCCCCCTCCCTCCTCCTCGTCCTCCGGGTGACGCTCCTTGAGAAAAACCCTGACAGGACCCACCCGATGTTTCTTAATTCCCGGGGATGTTACGATGTCATGGTCTCGGGGCAATAAATTAACTTTGAGAACATTAGTGCATTGTAAGGGTTCACTAAGAGATCGGTGATACGCCTCCTCCTTTGTAAAGGGGAGCGGCTGTGTGAGCGCGATAGGGCGAGAAAAGGGGAGCGGTGGAGGGAAGGGAAGGGGAGGGAGGGAAGGAGCGGGGAGGGAGGGAGGGCGGTGAAGGAAAGGGGCGAGGAGGGAGGGAGGGAGTGGGGAGGGAAGGGGCAGGGAGGGAGGGAAGGAGCGGTGAAGGGAAGGGGCAGGGAGGGAGGGAGTGGGGAGGGAAGGGGCGAGGAGGGAGGGAGGGAGCGGTGAAGGGAAGGGGCAGGGAGGGAGGGAGGGAGTGGGGAGGGAAGGGGCGGGGAGGGAGGGAGAGAGCGGGGAGGGAAGGAGTGTGAATAAAGGGTTTTTTAAAGAGTGACTTGCGCGTTTTCTTTTCCACCTCCTCCTCCTTCCTTTATCCCATCTCCCCTTCCCCTTTATCTCCCTCTCATTGATGCCTCCGTTAGTGTGCCTACTCCATTTTTTATCGCAGTCTTTCCTTTTGTCCCCGAGTTTGATTACCTATCGTCACAGGATCTGTTTATTGCATCAATCATCGCGGCATCGACTTTTGTGACTTTATCGTCAAGAAAGTGTGATCCTTTTTAGCGGTCGGATGTGCATGAAATCCTCCGGTCGGGAAAGAATAGGAAGATGTGCTTTTTTTTCGTTTGTATTCAGATTATATAAATACATTTTTTTCTTATCTATTATATTGGTCATCACCTGTTCTATTCACGACTTGATATTCAGATAAATGAAAATTAAACCACTGGAAAAAAAACAGATTTCAGCTTGTTTCATCTTTTTTTTTTTTCCTGATGGTATTTGTTATATTCACATCTTTCAGAATCGTTCGAAAGAATGTAATAAAGTAATTTAGATTTACATTACAGTGCAGAGGCAAATGTACAAATGATAAGATATCCAACTGAATTTCCCTTTGATTTTCTATTTCAATATTCCTCCACACACTTGCACAGACAGTCACACGATACGCACACGCACATCACACATGTACACTATACGCACACCCATTCATATATCCATTCCCACAGCACGCACACATACATACACACCTTTAGACTATACACACACAACTATACACACACACTTAACACACTCACCTGTCCGTATATCCCTACCTAAACTTATACACATACTTATTCACCTATACATTTATGCAGCTTGTGTTTACGTCACTGTGTATGTTTACGAGTGAACGCAACGTGTGTGGCGCCCACTGCCTCGTGCGACGCCCATCACTCGCGGGCGGGTCTCTTAAACGCGCTCCCGACTCTGGGGGGGATCGCCGGGGGGGGGGGGGGTAAGGTGAGTAGGGGGTGAAGGGATGTGTGTGGGGGTGAGTGGGGGTGAAGGAGTGTGTGGGGGGGTGAAAGGGTGTGTGGGGGGGTGAAAGGGTGTGTGATGGTGAGGGTGTGTGTGGGGGGGGTGAGTGGGGTGTGTGTGGGGTGGGGGGTGAGGGGAAACCAGCTGGGTGAAGACAAGAAATAGTTTTTGCTTTTTTTTTGTTGCTGTTTGTTTTTTGAAGTCCGTTATTTATTTGTTTGTTTGTCTGTTTATTTGCTTATATATTTTTTCTCATTTATTTTTTATTCGTTTTACCCCCTTTCTCCTTTCTTTCTTATTTTTCTATTTATCTAATTCTCTATCTATTCATGTGGAGGTGGTAGGGGGGGAGGGTTGTTTGGTTCATCGTGCGTATGTATTGAATGGCTGTCATACATATATATATATATATATATATATATATATATATATATATATATATATATATATATATATATATACACACACACACACACACACACACACACACACACACACACACACACACACACACACACACACACACACACACACACACACACACACATACATACACACGAACCAAAACGAACGAACATCCTCCTCCCTTCCTAATCCTCCCCGCCATGATCATCACCAAATCGCTTTTCCCAAAATATTACCAAACCATTAAAAAATAACGACCGTGCGCCGTCATCGCCTAATTTAACACCCGGTATATATAAGTCATCTATTGCAAGCCTAATAAAAAACAGAGTAAAACGAAAAAAAAAAGAGAAAATATTTACGACCATAAAAATTGCAATATAGAGAGACGCCATATAATTTTTTTTTCTCTTTCTCTCTCTCTTTATCTTATACGAAACTCTTAAAATTCCGCAATTAATGAAGCAAGATAAAACTGTCACTAGTTCCTTGTAAATACCACCAAGACGACTCCTCACCTGTCAAGAATCAGACGCCTTGTGAAAATTTGTTATGTTTGCGGACATCTTTACAAATCACGGGATTCCACGCGCGTAAATGTCACTGTAGGGGGAAGGGGGGAGGGGGGGTTGGGGGTATGACACTCCTGAAATCGCGAGGGAGGGCGCGGGGGCTCGTCATGAACGTCGATGCCTGTCTGTCTGTCTGTGTACCTCCTCCCATCTCTTTTCCAGGATTTACTTTTCTTTTCTTTCCTTCTTTCTTTTCTTTTTTTTTTTTTTTTTGAGATGGGTAGTGGCAGGGGATTTTTTTTCAGGATGTTATACTTTTCGGATGTTTTATTTACTTTTTTTGTGTGTGCTTATTTTTTTTTAATGATTATTACTATATATTATTTTGATGATGATTATTATATTCCTATTAACATAATCATTTTTGTCATTATCATCTTCACTGCAATTATAATTATTGTTACTAATCTTACTTATATCATCCCTATCACTTTATCATCAATAATGTTTATTATTCCTATTCCATGAAGTAAATAATACTTTTTGAAAATTAACAGTTCTATCAGCATACTAATCTTATCATATAATCTTTTAAATTTAGCATCGATCTAATCAATATGTAGGCCTACATTGATTTTTTGCAGCACCTGTGCAAATTAACAATAACCAGTTATATTATTGATGTTAATATAAAACTGTCAATTGCATACAATGTTGTGCAAAAAAAAAAAAAAAATCGACTTAATAGCACTCACTGTCTATAGAAGATTTAAAATCTTTCTTTGCCTCTATATCTGACTCTCTCTCTCTCTCTCTCTCTCTCTCTCTCTCTCTCTCTCTCTCTCTCTCTCTCTCTCTCTCTCTCTCTCTCTCTCTCTCTCTCTCTCTCTCTCTCTTTTTACTTTCTCTCTGTGCGTGTTCGTAGACAGAAAGATAGACAGATTGATAAGTGATAGACAGACAGACAGATAAATAAATAGACGAAGAGAGAGAGAGAGAGATAGATAGATAGATAGATAGATAGATAGAGAGAGAGAGAGAGAGAGAGAGAGAGAGAGAGAGAGAGAGAGAGAGAGAGAGAGAGAGAGAGAGAGAGAGAGCGATAAAATGATAGATAGATAGATAGATAGATAGATAGATAAATAAAGAGAGAGAGAGAGAGAGAGAGAGAGAGAGAGAATGCGACTTAAAGACGGAGAGACAAGCGATGAAAATAAGGCTAAATGGCGATGGACCACCACACGGACAGACAGACAGACGGAGACAGACTGAGAGACAGGCGGTGAGGAGGTGGCAGTGACATGCAAATACGGCGGACGCCCGTGATCTTCTGTTTATTTTCTATCAGTAGGTTGTCGTACCGTTTGTTTACAGGGGTGACTTCGCCGTTTTTGTTAGCTCACGTTTTTTTCCCTCGACGAATCTACTTTTCTGCCCCTTCCTACTTTCATCTCCTCTCTTTTTCCTCTTCTCTGATTCCTTCCTTT